ATCGATACTACTCGACAACAAACGCTGTGTTGGAATTATGTGAGGTGCAGGTTTTTGGTAAATATAAATGTTCGCTATAATCTTAATAACCTTATTTCAGTTACTAAACATTAAATCGAACACAAGTCACCTCACATTTTAATGTCATATGACTATATATGGTATATTGTACATGCCTCTCTTTCATTATTTCAGAAGGAAAATATTAGGACATTTTATGTTTTCAAATCCTAATGATTATTGGATGACAATATTACGAAATATTTTTACTTTATTATTATGCTGTGAATTAATAGTGACCTGAACAATGAGCCGTGTATATCCTTCCATTAGGATGTCCGGTAAATCGTTTTGGATCTACCTGTTCGGGAATATGTCACTGTGGTGTGGGTGGATGTGATCCTGATACCGGACTATGTGACGTCACTGGATGTCAGAGTGGATGGATGGGACCACACTGCTCTGAAGGTAAAATGACTTAGATATGTCTACATATACAATATAACACTTAATGTATATGTCACGTCGGTTTATCAACATACGTAGCTAATTTGGAAATTCCATTTAGTTTCTAATGTACAATTTTGTACATGTACTGTACCTGTGTGATCACTAGTTCTGAAAATGAGTTGTTTCTAATATTAGTTGGGTTGTTTTTTTCAGAATGTGGAAGTGGCAAATTTGGCATGAACTGTAACCACACGTGTCATTGTTCACAACCCGGATGTGATAGAGAAAATGGTAGCTGTGTGGTGCCAGGATGTGAAGCCGGATGGCAAGGGAGAGCTTGTGATACGAGTACTAATTTAATTGCCTTGTTTTATTACATTTCATATATGTGATTCTCTATTTTGATTAACATATCTACATTATTATAAAACATCAATATTTTGCGTTTAATTTCACCTACACTTAAACATAAGATTCGTGTTAGTCAAGAAATGTTATAGGAGATTCCTACACTGCAAGTGAATGATCTAAATGAGAGCAATATATCTGAAATAGAACTTTTAGGCAATTTATATTGGTGACAGTTTATTTGTGCTGTTTCCATAATAACTTGTTCTCAATGATTTATAAGGATTTAAAGGCATTCTGTTCACAATTCCATGCCGGTATGAACGCAAGCCGGTTACGTTACAAACATATTTAACATGAAGCCTCATTTTATTACGTTCATAATATGTATTACCTGAGTTCAAGATTCCTGAACTAGCTTAACGTCACAAAAATGTCTTCTTCTAACGGTTGTCTCATTTTCTCTATTCGACGCGGAAGGAAAAGCTTCAAAATGACGCTGATAATGCTTATAGGGGAACTTGCATTGGAAATGTTAGTATTCTGAAATTTTATCAAACAATTCAAATTATGCTAACATTAACATTATCTAAATAAAACATGCTATTTATTCAGAGTGCGAAGCCGGCAACTTTGGCGAGAACTGTTTACAGACATGTCACTGTGCTTTACCGGGATGTGACCATTTCAACGGGAGCTGTACACAGCCAGGATGTGATTCTGGATGGACAGGAATGGCTTGTGATAAGGGTACTCATTTATATTATAAAAAAAGATTGGGCATTGAACAGTGTTTCCGTGTTTGTCATGACATGATCACGATGACTATATGAATTTAAAAATCTAAATTAAATCATCCAGAAATGTGATGCACTCTTAGTAAGATTTGTCGGCAAAATATTCTTAAAACATTAAACAAAAGTAAAAACAAAAGTAAAAAAATAGATCCGATGTCAGATTGTCAATTTTTTATGGGGTTCTTGAATGATGTGGTTTTCCGTATGACGTAATTAAAAAAAAAAAATCCCATGAAAGAATGATCCATGGAATTTCATAATAAAACGAGTCCAGAAACAATTAAGTTAGCCACTCTGTGCTTTTTATTTATTAATAAACCTTTGAAATAGTTTATTATTGAGTATATTACAATAAGAAAAAGAAAAAAACGTACATATATACATGCAATATAAATTATTCAAAGGCCATTACAAATTTTGCTTAAAATTATACAGTAACGTATGACAATACTATATATTGCCCCGAGTAATATAAATTATCTACTAGTTGGAAGAGCAAGGGAGCAACTATGAAGCTCTTTGTTTCGTGTCTTTTATATTTAATCATCACAAGGAATTTGGATGTTATTTGTAT